GGGGGGGGCAGTACTCAGTGTCTAAATCTTGGCCTAGCATTCTTGTTGAAGTTGTTGTTCTTTCTTAGCAAGTAGTGTTCTCAGAAACATCTTCATTACAGGTATTCTTAAACACTTCTCTACAAGCATTGCAGAACGGCTATACCTTGCATTCACCGAAATAACACTGTTCTCAAGATAGCAAGCAAGTTGTGGTTCTTGTTTCGCCCCTAAGCCCTAGTCTCACATTGATCTTGTGGTCTTCCCCTGTCTTTATCAGGGCTTTGTGCCCGTAAATCTTTAAAAAATTATTTCTAAATTGAATATTTCAAACATTCACGAAAGTGTAAGAAGGTAATGAGATTAAGCCTCCATACACCCAAGCGCTGATGACCTCTTGGGGGCTGGAGGTCTCAGCAGGGGCCAAGCAGCTGGGGTACAGCCCACAAGGCCTTCTGGCAGTTGGCCAGGCCCTGCCAGCAGTGCTGGGAACTTAGCAATTTTGTGTGTGGAGGTATTTTTCCTGGGGCTTTTCACATTTTTACTCCTCGATGGAAAGTGTGGGGAGATGGGACAAATGGACTTTGTAGGATCTGTTGGCTAGCAGACTAAGTTTTCTTTTTGCCTTCTCTTGTTCTTATACCACTGCAGTCTCTTCATGGGTAAAATGGGAATAATTATTCATTTATCCATTCTAGATATGGTCTTTATTCTTAGAACTTACACTTAGGTAATAGAAACGATAAATTAGTAAAATAGAGAACAGAGAGATAGGCTCTCTGACAATTTAGAGGAGGTAGAAGTACTTCCGGCTGGACAAGTCTGGGAAGGTTTCACGGAAAGGGTGGATGGGAGACAGTCCTTGATGTGGATTTGGATATGGGGAGACCAGAGGAGTAGCAGACATGGGCTAAAGAATGCATCAAGGCACAGAGGTGAAGAGAAAAGTGTACATCATAGGGGTTCCCCTTTCCTCCTGCTCATAGGAAATGAGAGGTCAAATGAGGTTACATCTTTGGAATTCTTTTGAAAGAAAAGTCCACCAGTGTATGTACCTATTAACAGCCTATCAAGTAGAGGACCTCACAAACCCAGTCTGTGAAACAGGATGTGTGGGTGCATGGAAAGACCCATTAAAGCTGCAGTGGCCACCTCACTAATCCCTGGTGTCGGGTCTACCACGGCCTACATGTGTAGGTTATGCCCTGGGCCCGCACCTGCAGAGTTAATGGATGGGGCTAAACCCAGCCAGGCTCTGCCAGCGGAACTGGTCCAGGCTGTTTCCACCCTGAGAAGCACCTTGTTCTGATTTGCCAAGGGCACCGTGAGGGCTCAGAATCTGTTTCCTTTTGTTTCTTACTTGTGCCCACATATCATGGCTAAATATTTAGGGTCTCACTGTCATATAATTTGCTAAATGACTTCCTTTAGCCATCTGTAGGGACTCAGTCATCATTTTGAAGACTGGCATGGTATCAAACATTTGCAGAAATTCAGGAGGACATACTCTACTCTCTCAGTTCCATTTTTGCCTTCTGTTCTCCCTGCCACCAACTCAGGTTGGATGCTCAGAATCCCTCCACCGCAGGTGAGGATAAGACAATGAAACTGCTCAACACCTGCCTTCCCAGGTGACCTGAAATGCACAGGGCACTGGACCCCCCCCCCCCCCCCGACCCCCTGGCTTCAGGGTCAAGTGCTTCCTGTCCCTTTGGGGCCATCTTGCTACCTGTGTCCTGGCGACCCCTTGTCTTTGCTGTTGCTCTTGAGCCTTTCTGGCGCAGCTTCCTTGCTTCTCTATTCCTTTCTCCCTCATCCTGATTGGTTTTGTTCTGGAAGGGGAGAGATTCATTAGAGAGAAGGAAAAGGAGGATTACAGGTAAGGAAGAGACAGGAAGGAAAACAAAGGAGGAAGATAGGGAGCAACATAGCAGTAGAGGCCAGGAAAGTTGTAATACATGCAACATTTGCAGTTCCAGTGGGGGTGAAGGTGAAACCACCAGAACGACGTTTCAGGTGCAGGGACGTCTCTGTCACCATCATCTGCCCTCAGTAACAAGATGACCTTGCTTTCTTCAGGTGTCCTCATGACTTCCCCTGCAGACCATGTCTATGATCCTTTTTGCCTGTGTGGTGAGGGTGAGGGATGGACTGCCCCTCTCGGCCTCCACTGACTTTTACCACACCCAGGATTTTCTGGAATGCCGGAGACGGCTCAAGACTTTAGCCTTGCGACTGGCCCAGTACCCAGGTCGAGGTTCTGCGGAAGGACGTGACTTCAATATACAGTAAGCAAGCACGTTCACTTTTCCAGAACATCTGCAAACTTCGGTTTACTTTTAACCATATATCGGGGTAATGTTAGGCTGATCACATTGCGTGTTATGAGTGGGTCGGCTGTCAGACAGTGGTCTGGAGGTGGTGTGTATTTACAGCCATAGAATCAACGGAGCATGATTGTCCCACCCTTGCATGGAGCATGCTGCTCCAACTCCTGCCCTTCTGTTAGTGGAGTGCTTGGGAGCATCGGGAGACCTGGGTTCAATCAGTTTTCATGCCTTTAGTTTGGTAGTTTATTGTGCCTTAGATGGAGAGGGAGAGAGTCCAGATTATAACATCAGGGAGGGAAAAGGATGAGAGTGGGAAAGCCAGGAAAATAAAAGACTTATGGTTCTTGCCTTTAGTTTTTGCTTTTTAAATTTTTCACCTTTTTAAAAAAAATTTAAAACTTTTCTCATTATGTAACAGGAGCAGGGGAGTGAATAATGAGCACAAGCAGGTTCCTTTGCAAAGTCTCATGAGGGAACAAGAACGATAATCTAACTGAATATAATACAGTGGAGAAAATGCTCCAGCAGAAGTAGGAATCAAGTGATTCCAGTAATCCTAGTAATAATGGCTAGTGTTGTTGAGTGTTTTCTATATGGCAGGCACTACCCTAAGCTCTTTATTGGCTTGTGAGGTAGGTAATAGTATTCTACCTGTTTTACAGAGGAGGAAAGTGAGGTTAAGGGACTTAGCTGAGGTTGTCCTGTTAGTACGCGGTAGGGCCAGGATCTGAATGCAGGCAGCTGGGCCCCAAGGGCTGCTCCTCATGTGTTCTATCGTTTCTTATGCTAGGACTTATTCTTATTCTAGGAAAAATTGTTTTAAATGTGTAGCTGAGCTTGAAAGAAAGAATTCCCAAGCTGCCAGAAATGAAGGGGAACAGAATATCAGGGTGCTGAGTGTGTGAGCTGACACTGAGGCTCCTGGATAACCAGTCATAAATTTTTATGTAGAGACTTCCAATTATAAAAAGATGATAGAACAATAAAACCTAAAAACTCTTTGCCAGAAGCCTTTCTGCAGGAGAGAGCAGGGGCTAGGCAGGGTTGGAAATCTCAAAATGGCTTGTCCTAGCTTTTTACATCTTTGTTTTCCATTATTTAGGCCCTCACTTACCAAGTCCCCCCTGTTCCCCTTGAACAGTACATTTTTAGCTGACCTGATAAGGTGGGGTCCTTTTACGGGATTTCAGCCTCAGAATCAGAAAGCCAAAGGAAAAGTTCAGGCTTCACTCCAGGCCTGGTGGTGCGGTCAGGCGAGAAGGGACCAGACAGAAGGGGGCGGCAGGAGGCGAGCACGTGCAGCTATCACCCTGTGGCGTGGGCTCTGGGTGCTCAGGAGCGAAAACCGAGCTGCATCTGCCTGCATTTGTGGCTCCTGTCTCTGGGTGCCTGAAACCACCTTCCTCCGTGTCCCTTCCTCATTACGCTCGGATTATCTAACATCCTATGGGGACTTGGTGCTGAACTGCAAATACGAAAAATTTTCTCTCATAAGAAAAAAAAAGAGGTCTGTGACTTCAAATGACATTCTGGGTGCTTCAGTAGTTTTTTGAAAACTGGAATGTAAAATGTTCTGTTCGTTCATATTTTGGATTAAATATTCACCATTATTTTTCACAGATGAAACAGGCTTTTTTTTTCCCCCCATACAGGTAAGCAGTACTATAGCTTATTTTATAGTTAAGGAGTTGAAATATTTTCCCACAGTTACATTAACAAATTACAACAACAGGAATTTATTCTCTCACAGTTCTGGAGACTAGAAGTCTGGTGGTGGCAGGGCCATGCTCTCTTGGAGGCTCTAAGGAAGACCCTTCCTGTGCCTCTCTACTACCTTCTAGTGGTTGCTGGCAGTCCTTCCATGTCCTGTAAAAGAGTTACTCCAGTCTCTGCCTTCTTGATTACGTGGCCTTCTTCCCTCTGTCTCTAATGAAATTTCACACCGGTCATTGGATGGAGCTACTCTAATCCATTATAGCCTTATTTTATCTTGATTGTATCTGCAAAGACTTATTTCCAAATAAGGTCATAGTCACAGGCACTGCAAGTTAGGACTTCAACATATCTTTTTGGGAGACACAAGTCAGCCCACAAATAGGGGTCCTCTTTCCAATAGAAATACCCATCCTAGAGAGACTTAACCCCTTCTGGAAAGTTCCTCATATAAGGAAGAGATTATTCTTTATTTTTTTTTAATTGACAAAATTTTTATATAGAGACTTCCAGTTATAAAAAGATGATAGAACAATACAACCTAAAAACTCGTTGCCAGAAACATCCTGAAATGTGGGTAAATGTCTATGAAAAATTGTTTTAAATGTGTCGCTGAGCTTGAAAGAAAGAATTCCCAAGGTGCCAGAAATGAAGGGGAACTGAGTATCAGGGTGCTGAGTGTGTGAGCTGACATGAGGCTCCTGGGTAACCAGTCATAAACTTAGGACTTGAGTTTCAGGACGCATGAAGGGAGAGGCCTTTGCCTTATGTCGGGCGAGGTGTTGGAACAAGAGCCACGCTTGAAGAAGGCATTCTTGTCAGGAGACAGCCCTGGTGGCACGGTGATAGGTGAGAAATAGCTGCCCACCGGTAAGGAGTTGCTCATCTTTACTTGGCTTTGAATGGAAAGGAAAAACAAAGTCTCATCTAAGACATTGAAGCCCTGCTTCTGTGGCTCATGTAGGATTGGAGTTTAAGTTTATACTCCCCACGGTCTAGGAATTCCTAAGCCAAGGTTCAATGATCAGTATTGGTTCCAGACTGATGACACTCCTGGAGTAGCTGGCCAAAGCAAATGGAAAACCACTCTGGAAGGAGTGCCACAACTCAGTCCTTGAGAGATTCTTACAGAGAAAAAAAGAAGCTCCACACTGGCGCCCCCTCACCAAAAATTACAGAACACCAAAGGAGCTCTCCTACAATGAGTGGGAGTCAGTAGACACCACAGAGAGAACTCGGGTCCCCAGAACCTGAAATGATAGCACGACAGTCTGAAAAGTAGTAGAAGAAGGAGAAAACCCTGCATCAGTTTTAGGAGCCCAGAATAACCCAGTACCACAACCAGATGGAGACAGTGCAAGAAAGGAAAATTATAAGCCAGTCTTACTTTGCATAGACACAAAAGTCCTAAATGAAACATTAGCAAACTAAATCTAGCAGTTGTGTGTATGTGAATATGTACAAACTATCCCCCCAACCCCTCTGCCAAGAAGACTTTATTTCAGGATGCCGGGATGATTGAACATTAGAAAGCTATTGATGTCGATTGAAGAAGAAAAACAGTTTGCTCTGTAGATGCAGAGAGGTCTGAGGCTACCTCTCCCTAGTGGAACATGCGTCCCTCGTGCAGGAATCGAGAAGAGTGATCACACACTGTCAGTGGCAAATTACTGCTCTCTAGTTTAGAGGAAGGACCAGAAAGGCGCAGTGCCGGGTAGCCCCAGCTGAAGAGACAATATACACGCAGCAAACAGCTACAGGGCTGTTCAAGGCCAGGGAAGTGCAGGGCGCAGACCTGATTGTGTCTGAGTATGGGGCGGGAATACAGGGGTCTGCTCCCTGCTAATGCAGATGTTGCCCTTTTGTTTCAGTTTTTCTTCTTTGCGGGATGTGGCTTGCATGGCTATCTGCTCCCGCCAGTGTCCAGTGGCCATGGCCTTCAGCTTCCTGGAGACCGTGTGGTGGGAATTCACAGCTTCCTACGACACCACCTGTATTGGCCTAGCCTCCAGGCCGTACGCCTTTCTCGAGTTTGGTTTGTAACCTTCTGTCTTCTATATTGCTCTCTTACGGCATTGTATGGGTCGAAGTGATGGTTTAGATTTGGCTTTGACCATCAAGGAAAACCCCTGGCGGTGCTATGACATGTCACTAGAGATCCGCTTGGTACCGTGAGATTTCACAGTGATTGAAGTGGCCCGGAAGCTTCAAGCTTTAGCACCGGCTTCCCATCTCCTTGGGACCTGAGGCAGGGCTGGGGAATGGTGGAACCCGTCTCGGTTATCCACCATAATCCCCTGAAGCAGGGGTCAGCAAACGGTGGTCCGAGGGCCAGCTGCCTATTTTTGTAAATGAAGTGGAAGGCAGCTACGCTCATTCTCTTACGGGTCACCTGTGGCGGCTTTGCCCCTCACCGGCAGAGTTGAGTAGTTGTGACAGAGACTGTACGGGGTCTAGAAGCCGAAAATATTGACGACGTGGCCCTTTAAGAGGGTTTGCCACCCTGCTCTAGAGAAGTGCTGCTCAGCGGGTGGTGGGTGAGCTCGTTCCTCCATCGTGAGGTAGGTACCGAAAGTGAGAATAAGAAGTGTTTAGAGGGCGCCTGGGTGGCTCAGTTGGTTAAGCGACTGCCTTCAGCTCAGGTCATGATCCCAGGGTCCTGGGATCGAGTCCCGCATCGGGCTCCC